TACCTTCTGTATATCACAGATGGCTAATTAATCTTTGTCCAATCCTGATGCTACACTTCTTCTTCACATAGTCCAGGTTCTTGGATTATTGGCTCAACATACAGACTGAATAAGTACAGTGAAAGGATACCACCCTGACACACATTCCTTGATGGACACATACCATTCGATATGGCCTTGTTCTGTTTGAATGACTGCTTTATGGTCCATGTACAGGTTATTCATGGAATATTTTGCTATTGTTGTTGTTGTTAGGTGCTGTCATGTTGTTTCCAACTCATAGCAACCCTATACACAGCAGAACGAGACACTGCCCGGTCTTGCACCATCCTCACCTTTGTTGTTATGTTTGAACTCATTGCTGCTGCCACAGTGACAACCCACGTTGTTGGAGTCTTCCTCTTTTTCGCTGACCCTCCATTTTACCAAGCATGATGTCCTTCTCCAAGGATTGATCCCTCCTGATAGCATGAGATACATCCTGAAGTATGAGAGATGAAGTTTGGCCTTCCTGGTTTCTAAGGAGCATTCTGGCTGTACTTCTTCCAGATTTGTACTAAAAGATTTGTTTGTTTGTTCTTTTGTCAGTCCACAGTACTTTCAATCTTCTTCTCCAAAACCATAACTCAAATGTATCAGTTTTTCTATGGTCTTCCTTATTCATGTCTGAACTTTCACATGCATGTGATGCTATTGAAAAAAACCATGGCTTGGGTCAGATGAACCTTAGTCCTCAAATTGACATCTTTGCTCTTGAGCACTTTAAAGAAGCATTATACAGCAGATTTGCCTGCTGCAATATGTCATTTTATTTCTTGATTGCTGCTGCCATGAGTGTTGATTGTGGTATTTGCAATGAAGAAGTCATTGGACTTCAAAATTCTATCATGCAATATCCAGCATCATTTCTATGACCAAACTCGTATTTGCAACTACTGATCCTTCCTCTTTGTTTTCAACCTTCACATTCCAATCACCAATAATTATCAATATATCTTGATTACATGTTCAATCAGTTTCAGACTGAAGAAGTCAGTAGAATTCTTCAATGTCATCATCACTGGCTATAATGGTTGGTGTATAAATTTGAATAATAGTGGCATTAATTGACCTTCCTTGTAAGCATGTAGATATTATCCTATCACTGACAGCATTGTAACTTAGGATTTGATTTTTGATAATGAATGCAACACTAGTCCTCTTCAATTTGATGTTCTTGGAATAGCAAACCATATGATTGATTCAAAATGGCCAATACCTATCCATTTCAGCTCATCAAGCCTAGGATATCAATCTTTATGTATTCTATTTCATTTTTTAGGACTTCCAGTTTTTCTAGGTTTAGACTTTGTACATTCCACCTTCTGCTTATTAATGGATGTTTGCAGCTGGTTCTCACTTTGAGCTATGCTACATTAGTAAATGAAGGTCCCAAAAGCTTTGCTTCATCCATGTCATTAAGGCCAACTTTGAGGAGGCAGCTCTTCCTTAGTTATATTTTGAGTAACTTCCAACCTGAGGGACTCATTTTCTGACACTATATGTGACAATATTCTTCTGCTATTAATAAGGTTTCCAGTGGGTAGCTTATTAGAAGTGGTTTGACTATTCTTCTTCCTAATCTTAGTCTGGAAGCCCTGCTGAAACTGGTCCACCATGGGTGAACCTTTTGATATTTAAAATACCTGCGGCATAGCTTCCATCATCACAGCAACACAGAACCTACCACAGTACGATGAACTGACATATGAGTGGTAGTAAATAAATTAGAAGGATAGATACATGAGATATATGAGACTATAGCAGCTCATATTAAATGTTCAATTAAATTGATATTTTCTTAGTTACAGGAATGCTGTATTAAAGAAATTCTATGATGGGGACCCGACTCGATGGCACTTAACAACAACAATGATGGGTGTTGTGCTAAGAACAAAATAGACCTTAGAGTTATTACAGCTGTCCTTCATATTTACAAGGGCTGCCTGGGGAGTGATAAATGCTTTATAAGTGAGGCTAGGCATCAGGACGAGTTTCTGACTTTGGGGAAGGATTAAAAAAACATTCATCCCTTTGTACACAAGGGGGTGCAGCTTTATAACATGAGCATATTTCCTGTGTAGTTCTAGCTTTGGATTTAGCATTTCACTGTGACATCAACATTTCTTCATGTTAAGTATCAAGAACATTATCTAGACAACATGTTAAAGATGAACTCTTCTCCAGGTTTAATGACTGTGATACTCTTAATGCTTGGTAAGTAAAATGATTCTTAAAACTTGCATTATTTTTTCTACTATGTCAGCAAAACTTTAGCCATAATTTACCCAAGAGCATTATGTCCAAGGTTACACAGACCTTTTTTTTTTTTTTTTTTTTGATCCAGGAGGAACCAGTGGAGATTCAGTGACCCAGCAAGAAGGCCAAGTAATTCTCTCAGAAGAGGCTTTACTGACTATGAACTGCACTTATACGGCCACAGGGTATCCTACCCTTTTCTGGTATGTCCAATATCCCAATGAAGGTCTACAGCTTCTCCTGAAAGCCACCAAGGCCAATGAGAAAGGAAAAAGCAAAGGTTTTGAAGCCACGTACCATAAAGAAACATCTTCCTTCCACTTGAAGAAAGCCTCAGTGCAAGACTCCGACTCAGCTGTGTACTACTGTGCTCTGAGTGACACAGTGACAGGAACTGCAGGAGGAGCTGAGCACAAACTCTGAGCAGCACAGCTCTGACTTCTGGGTGTCTTTGCCTCTGATTCACTCTGGTTCTAGCAGAGTCTATTGTTAACTTGCTCTTCAGTCACTCTGCGGTGGTGTAACAAAGTGTGTGTGTGTGTGAGGGGTTACAGACCACACCAGGTGACATTGTCAGAGAGAGTCACACCAATATGTGCAGTGCTGCAGCAGAAATTAAAAATTTTTAAACAAACAATGTCCTTTTAGTTATAACAACAAAAACATTTTTCTAAGCCTAGCTTACATGTGTAAATGTATCTACAAGGCTAAAACTCTCTATGCTAATTTACTTTTCAAACCTTCTATTACCCAATTATTACCCAATTACAGTGATGTCTTGAATCACATAGTTTTCCATGCATGTGCTGTTATTTTCATCGCTGCCAGTGTTTTCATACTCACTGGTTTTGTCAAAGTTTCTGGTATGTTAGCTGCAATATTGTGGTAACTAGTACTTATGAGCCTATAACAATAGAGTCTTGGTGAGGCACTGTGGTATGAAGCACTGGACCACAAAGTCAGTTTGAACTGCAGGGTTGACAGTTCAAACTCACCAGCTGCTTCTCAGAAACCTTATACAGGAGCTCTATGGGTAGGATCCACCTTGATGGCACTTAACAACAGCAACAATATCAATGAGAGTTTTTAGAATAAAGTAGTCATTAAAGGAAATGAAGGAGAAAATGCAAAAATATTTCTGCTCCATTACTAATAATATTGTAACTAATGATGCTGTATTTCAATGTAGAAAGATTTTACAACATAATTTTGTTGTTAATATTCATGAAGGCTAAGAAATATTACATTTAAGCAATTTACAATTGGATGTATCATGCATTATTATGTAAAAAATATAATAGAATAGCAATATAATAAGTCATTTATTAATTCCAGAGAAAATAAAATATTCAAGAAAAGGAATGCACTTGAGTAGTATATATGGTTCAACCAAATTGCCTTCTAGGTAAGTTTCACTGATTTATGCCACTGATAACAATATATTGGAAGGCCATTATTTGTCCAAAGCCTGTGCAGTACCCAACATTTTGATTTTTGTTTATCAAGTGAGTTGCCTTTTACTTTTCACAATTTATTCAATTAAGAATGAATTTTCAAACACTGCATTTTGCTCGAGTCAACTCTCTACACTCATGGAAGCAGTAGTCAGGAAATCAAATAATGTATTGCATTAGGCAAACCTACTGCACAAGACCTCTTTAAAATGTTCAAGGGCAGAAATGGCAGTTTGAGGACTAAGATGCACTTGACCCAAATAATTTTATTTTCAATAGTTTCCTATGCATGTGAAAGTTGGACATGAATAAGGAAAACCATAGAAGAATTGATGTATCTGACTTATGGTGTTGGAGTAGAATATTAATGGTACCATGGACTGCTACAAGAACATACAAATTTGTGTTGGAAGAAGTACAGCCAGAATGCTGTGTAGAAGTTAGGATAGCGAGATTTCATCTCTCTTACTTTGGGCATATCATAAGAAGGGACCAGTCCCTGGAGAAGGACATGATGTTTGGTAAAGTGGAGGGTCAGCAAAATAGAGAAAGACCCCCATGAGATAGTTTGACACAGTGGCTGAAGATATGAACTCAAGCTTAACAATGATTATGAAGATGGCGCAGGTCTGGGCAGTATTTTGTTCTGCTATGTGTAAGGTCACTATGAGTTGGAACTGACTGAATGGTACCTAACAACAACAAAATACCATCCCATTAAGCACTCAAACAATTTTATTTTTATATAATAAATATTCTCCAAAATATAGTAAAGCCTACAAACAATTAGTTTAGCTTATTTATTTTATTTTTATTTTATTCTGGCTTGGCTGAAAGTTTATAGTGCAATTGAGTTTTCCATTCAACAATTTATAAACATAAATAATATAACATCAGTTGCAATTCCCTCAATATAACTGCATGTTTCCCATTACTTCCCTGGGTTTCCCAGTTTACATTCTTCCTTCTTTCCTGCTCCTTGTAGCCTTCAGAGCTTAGTTTGGGGCTAGTGTTGCCATTTTGGCCTAGTGTAATTACTTGTTCTGAAGAATATTAGGGCTCACTTTATAGACCTGTCAGCTGTTTGGTTGCAGGTCGATCCCTGGGAGTGAATTAAATTCCAGGTTTGTAGGGTGTCTAAGGCCATAGTTTCAGGGACTCCACTAGTCTCTGTCAAACCAGAAAGTGTGGTCTTCTTTGTGATTTTGAATTTTGTTTTACATATTTCTCCCATTCTGTCCATGACCTCTGTGGTCACAATCAGAGCAATCGGTAATGATAGCTAGTTCTTTTGGTCCGATGTTGGTGAATTCTGTGGCTCACTTGGTCCATTAGTCCTTTGGACTAATAATTTCCTTGAGTCCTTGATTTTCTTCACTATTCATCATTCTGGATGGCTGTGTAATAATTTTGAAGACCTTAGTAGGATATAGAACGTTGTCTTTGTGCAATATGTTATACCAACTAATCTAGCTGTTCCCTGATATTGTGTCCCCTGATAATGCGTCCTTAACCTAGTGACTCATTCCCTTTAAGGCTTTGGTTGCGACTAAGAAACTTTCATAATTTTGCCCTGTTTGCTCTACTATGTACATTGATACATTTATAGTAAAAATAAATATATATGGAGAAATATCCTCTGCCAAACCTATATATGATTGTGGGTGTAGTCCTGTTCGATACTCATACCTGTTTAGCTTGCATGTCTGACTATGCATTAATTCACAGATTAGTATGTGTTATAACTGTTATTGTAGGATTGTGCATGTAATAGTATTTACCTTTGTTGTCTTTTATTCTTGTGCATCTCCCAGTGACTTCCTTTGCCTTAGTCATATTGTGTTGCTCTTCCTCTCACTGTATATTGCTTTTCCCTTCACCCAAGTTAATATGCATCTATTCTTTTGTTAGTGATTGCCCCCTCACCTCCCGTCTCCTCCCATCACTGGTAGCCATCAAACAATGTTGTTGCTGTTTTTTTTTCTAGGTGTTAACCTTTTCTTGACTTTTTATATAATAATGATCTCATGCAAATATCTGTCCTTTTGTAACTGACTTATTTCATTCAGATTAATGTTCTCCAAGTTCATCCAGGTTATATTTTGCAGATTCATCATTGTTCTTTAACATTGCATAGTATTCCATTATGTGTTACATAGTATTCCATTGTGTATACCATAGTTTGTTTATTCATTCATCTGCTAATGGGCACTTAGGTTGCTTCCATCTTTTGGCTTTTATGAATTTGCTGTGATGAACATGGATTTGTATTTATCTGTTTGTGTCATAGCTCCTATTTCTCTAGTATATATGCCTCGTAGTGGGATTACTGTATCATATGGTATTTCTTTTTTCAACTTTTTAAGGGACTGCCATACCGTTTTTCCACAACAACTGAGACTATCATGGTGCAGCTTAGTTCTCAATGTGACATCTTTGCTTTTTAACACTTTAAAGAGATCTTGTGAAGCAGCTTTTTCCAATGGAATAGTTATTTAATTTCTTGACTGCTGCTTTCACAGGTGTTGATTATGGATCCAAGTGAAATGAAATCATTGGCAACTTCACTATGTTCCTTGTTTATCATGATTTTGTTTATTGGTCCAGCTGTGAGAATTTTTGTTTTCCTTTTACTGAAATGTAATCTATACTGAAGGCTGTGGTCTTTGATCTGCATTAGTAAGTATTTCAGGTCATTCACTTTCAGTGAGCAAGTTTGTGTCACCAGCATATAGGACCCTATATAGGATTTCTGTAAATCTTTATGGAAGCAGAAAGCCTCATCTTTCTCCTGCAGAGAGGCTGGTGGGTTTGAACTGCTGACCTTTTGGTTAGTAGTCTAATGCCTAACTCATAGCTCCACCAATATTCCTTCATTTGCATATCACCAGCTGTTAGTCTTCCTCAAATTTCAATGCCCCTTTCTTCTTCTTTATATAGCCTAGCTTCCTGGTTTCTTTGCTCAGAATGCAGTTTGAACACATTTGGTAATAGGAGTCAACCCTTATGCATTCCTTTCCTGATTTTAAACCATGCATTATCCCCTTGTTTTGTTTGAATGACTACCTTTTGATTTATGTACAAGTTCTGCATGAAAGCAATTCCGTTACTCACAATATTATCCATATTTGTTATGATCCACACAATTGAATGCCTTTGCACAATCAATAAAACATAGGTCAACATCTTTCTAGTATTCTCTGCTTTCAGATAATAGCCATCTGACATCAGCAATGATATTCCTATTTCTGTATCCTCTTCTAAATTCAGTATGACTTCTGGTAGTTCTTTGTCAATATAGTGCTACAGCCGTGAATTATCTTCAGCAAAATTTTACTTGTGTGTGATATTAAGACATTGTTCAATACATTTTGTATTCTACTGGATCATTTTTCTTTGACTAGGGCATAACTGTTCTAGTAGGTTGGCCAGGTAGCTATCTTTACGATTTCTTGGCATAAATTAGTGAGTGCTTTCAGCACTTATATTCTAAATCACATTGAAAATAGTGAAGAGAAAACCTAACAGAAGCTTAGTCATTTTTTTTTGTTTTGTTTTTAACTTTTGATTATGAACTGAGTGAAGGTTTATAGAACAGATCATCAGTTTTATATTCAACAAATTATATGTTTCATCCATTTTGATTGCAATCCTTTAAAGTAGTATCACTTATCCCAGTTCCTCCCTGTGTTTCTTATTTCCATTCCTCCTTTATTTTCCCACCCTTCTGAATTCTGTCCTTAGCTAAATGATGACCTTTTGATCTAGAATGATTGACTATTCTATGGTGTGAGCATCTTATTAGTGTTGTTGTCCCCTATTTATACCTAGTAATTATACCGATTATTTGTCTGAAAATTGAGCCATGCGGGTTAGCTCAGCACTAGAACTAAAGGGTGTTCAAGGGCCATAGTCTTGAGGTTTTACAAGTCTATATCTGACCAAGAAGCCTGGTCTTTTTAATGATTT